GGGTTTTAGGGACTTTAGTTAGCCAAGAGGGCAGTAGTTTAATTTTAAATGTGAAGTGGGCAAGTCATTTGACTTGGAGTAGATGCATTTATTTAATTAATTAATTAATTATTTATTTATTTTACATATAAGCAATAGAACATAGAATATAGTGAGATGTTTCGAATGAATGAAAGAAATAATAATAACGAAACGGGTGAAGAATTTTAGTTAAAAACGACAAATTTAGCAGCGGTATGTTTAGATTTGGGATGACTGGGACGTGGGGCGTGGGTAGTGCTGCCTGCTGAAATTATATTATAGAACTGGGTTAGGAGGGGGACGAATTATCATCAATTATTTACAACAATAAACGTAACGTAGTATCTTAATTCATTACTTTTAGGACCAAAAAAAAGTACAAAACAGAAGATGAATAATAACAAAACAAAAATAACAACGAACAAAATGCATAGTCTATCCTTGCCTTGTATAATAATTCTCGTCTCTTCGTATGCAAGCGACTATCACAATATAAGTACTTTAGGCCACAAGTAGTAGAAGTTATAGGTGAAAGCATCAGATCAGATCAGAAAAATAAGAAATTTTATAGAAGCCAGCTGATAAACAACCATAACAAGAGAATAGCAACACTGGCGAGTAGGTAACCGCGACGGTCTTTCTTATGGAAACGCCAAAAATAACGCAATTTTTCGGCGCTCTTCAGATTCAAATTGTCGCAGATTCGGCTGCTGCTGTTGGTGGTGGTGGTGGTGCTATTTTTTGTGGCGTTATAGTAGAGGATGGTTGGTGTCAAGTCGTGATTTTGCATTGGCTCGTAGTGGAGTTCTTTGCGTGCACGTTCGATTGAGTAGGTGTTCGTGATTGCGGTCAGGTTGATCTCGAGCCGAGTGAAGAGCGGTTCGATGCCTAGCCATAGGTACAAGTACTCGAACAGGACGGCCAGACAGATCATCAGCTGATAGGGAAGTTTGATGTAGGGAAGTGGCTTGCCGAGAGCTGAAATAGGTAAATAGCGATAAATGACGACGATAGAGAGCTGCGAAGTTGGATAGTAGTCTGAAGTTAGCAGCAGCACTGATACTGACTGACCTTGCATAAGGGGAAACCAAAACGAGAAGGCACCCACTGGTGGTCCACCATCGACAATATTATAGACTCGTCCAGCCGCACGCCCTTGCCGTAGAGCTTCTTCAGCTAAACGCATAGCCTGAAATTAATTCTAGGTTGTCTGGACGCATGGTATAGCCGCCGAGAAATACGAGTATTGTGGCGAGACGAGACGAGGCGAGACTATATTCTATGTAAGTATTTCAGTGTTTCATTAAAATGTTTGAATGTTATTTACCATAGCACTGTTGCCAACACCACTGTATTGTGTTAAACATCCTGGAGACTTCTCGAATGAGGCCATTAGTAGACCGCGATTGCAGAATCCCTTAAGAGATAGCTGAGTTTTAGTTGGAAGGTTGGAAGGAGGTATTTTGATGTGAAGAAGGTGCACATTTATAAATAGTTCGATATTTACACTTACAACGGCTCTTTCGACCGATCGCGGTTCGGCCGGTCCGTAGATACCACGATATCTGAGGGCACACGTACGTAGCTGGTCACAATTGGCCGCGAGTACACTCTGCTCTGCGATCGCTTTCGAGGCACTGTAGTGGGAACAATACTGAAAATATTTTAGAGTAAAGTAGCTTGGCGGGTGGTTCGCAATCGGGCGGGTTTGCTTGGCGCGAACGGAATTTTCGCGCTGGGAATTGGTTCGCTCTGCGAATAGAATTTTCGCGCTGGGAAGCGGTTCGCTTCTGCGAACAGAATTTTCGCGGTAGAATCGGTTCGGTTCGCCTCTGCGAACTAAAACAGCGGAATAACGTTTTCAGTTTTTTAGCAGGGAATCTCCTGGTAGTGAATAAAATGCAGACAAGAGTGCAGAATATCTTCTGATGAATAGAATGATACAGCAATAAAAAATGGCTGGTAAGTATGTGTAAATGATAGGAAATTTGATATAACATAATAGTAGTGCTAAAATGAGGAGTAGTTCTCTAGATTGGTTACTACTTTACTAGTAAAAGTACTACTACTTTACTAAAGTACAACTAGGTAATCTGAAAGGTTTGGCTTACCTTAGAAGGATGAGGATAGGGCGTATCTTCGTCAGCGTCGTAGAGCTCTGTGTTCGCGAATATTACACCGACCGAGCTGGCGTAGACGAGACGTTTCACGCCGTTCACTCGGCAACGATCCATGACCAGCTGCGTACCGTCCACGTTGATTCCGTAGACCATCTCCTTGTCCAGCTCAAATTTGGATTCTTTTAAT